AACGTTACCGCGGTAACATTAGTTTTCCCAGTGCTCTCGCTCCCCCTCTCTCTCCATCTTTCCCTCTTATCTTTGCGTTGCTTAGATGGGTCCTACTCTGGAAAAACAAGTGTGACACCCGTCACACCAAATGCATTCTGGCAGGTGGCAGGTATCCGTCCGTTACAGGGTTCCAAGCCATTTTCTCGAAATATTTAACCGCCTCTTTAACTTGCACCACTGGTGTATGCTTAGTAACACTCATAAACAAGTGTGCAACTGCAAGTTAAGTGGGCATTTTGTTTTTGATTTTTTTGACACGTCAATTTTTGAGCAATTTTTGGCTGAAAATATAGCGCTTCAGTTATCCGCAAGTTTCCCACTTTAAAAACAGGCACATTTGTCTAGGAGGAGGGAGGGTGATCAGCGGATCTTATCCTTTATTTTGCTATCTCGCCCATCGTATAGCAGCAGCTACAACAATAGTTTGTGTCCTGCTGAAACCACCTCTAATGATGTAAAATATCGATGTTAGAGGTAATTACTGTTTTGCCAGATGGTTTATTGAACGTGTCTACCGGTAACGTCCCCTGTGCCGGGGGTTGTTAGCCAGTAGCGTGCGCGGTCCGGGCGGTCGGGTGTCGGTGTTGGGGAGGAGGAGGAGGAGGAGGAGGAGGAGGGGGGTGGGGGTTGTGCCGCCATGCATGACTGGTTTGCAAGTGGCACACAACCCTGTTGAATCGGTAAGACTGTTAGTGTGTGTGGGTGGGAGTGCGGCGAGTGCGTGTTTGTGTATGTCGGTGTGGGAAAGCGCTGTACACGGTCGGGGCGTCGTGTGGCTCTTTTATAATCTAAAAGGCAAAAGTGCCGATCCCCTTTCTGCTGCGCTGAAAGCATGGACACGTTAATTTTTATTTTTACTATTCGTGGAAGTAACAACTACGTGACCACATTTTCGCGGTGTTCGGTGGTCGGCGTTTGTTTGGGTATGGCTTCGTTTCGGTTTAGTTCCACTAGATACATGCTTGAATATATACACTGGCGAACTAGTTTACATTCTCACTCTCGTCTTGTTGCTAGATAAATTAGTTCATGTAAGAAATGATGTAACCAAAATCCGTGACAATTGTTACAATGAAAATCCTGGCAAACACAATAAAAATCCTACGAAGCATTGCTTCGCAGGCTTTTAACACCAAATACCGAGAAACCATTGATTACCACGGCTGTTACGCACACACGCGAATGTCAAAAAGTGAGCTCTGCATTTTGTCACATTAAGTAATTTTAAGTGGAAGGTCGAGTATCTCTCAATTTTCCTGTGTTTGACGAGTTGACCAGCAGGCTGGTTGGGCGGCGGTTTAAAAACGTACTCTTGCCTCGTGAAAAAGGAGTGTGCCGCTGTAATCGTGTTGTGTACCGTCACTAACGATGGCAGTGACGTGCGGCATAAAAAGAGACAACGTAAATCTCTGGGAAGAGGGGCAGAGAGAGGGAGAGAGAGAGAGGAGCATCAAAGAAAATCCCATCACCTCCCGCAAGGTCCGGCACCAGGGGGTGGTGGGACCGTGGGACCTGGTGACGGCAGAGGTGGCCTTGATTTCAAGGGGCTTGGCGAGGCCTGGTGGAGCCGGGCGGCTCCGGCCACCGTAAACAGCCAATTTCAATGCATGTGACCCGCGCGCTTCCCTCCTTTGCCTCATGCTCCCACTTAGGATCAATTTCGGAGACCCCCCGTTATGCACTCTGCATCGATCGACTTACCCTCTTGCGTTTTGTCACGTTCCCGTCGAGGAACTACTGCCCTTCCCACCGCTGGGTGCAGCCCGCCAAGTGCATCAGCCTACAC